AGTGTACGTAGACGACTTGGTCTTTGCTACTGCTGACACTGAGGCACTCGCCCACGTGAAGTCGGAGCTGCAGAAGAGACACACGTGCACAGACCTGGGTGAGCTGACAAGCTATCTTGGCTTGCGGATCACCCGGGACAGAGCACAGCGCACCATCACCTTGACTCAGTCACACATGGTGCAGCAGGTCCTTCAGCGCTTCCGCTTCACGTACTCCTCGCCTCAGCCCACTCCTCTGCCTACCGGTCACTCGCTCTCAGCTCTGCCTTCGGATGAGTCCGTAGAGCCGAGTGGCCCGTATCCAGAGCTTGTGGGCTGCCTCATGTACCTGATGACTTGCACTCGACCTGACCTTGCATACCCTCTTAGCATCCTAGCACGCTATGTCGCTCCTGGCCGTCACCAGAAGGAGCACATGGATGCCGCTAAGAGGGTGTTGCGCTACTTGTGCAGTACGTCGGGCATGGGGCTTGTGCTTGGAGGACGGCGCGACGTTGTCCTCACTGACACTCAGACGCTTCTTGGGCTGACGACCAGGCTACTCAGCGGTCGTCTCAGGGTTACACCTTCAGCCTTGGCTCTGGCTCGATTTCTTGGCGTTCTACACGCTCGTCTTTAGTTCTCAGCTCCAGTTGTGAGGCTGAGATCTACGCCACAGCCATGGCTGCCCAGGAGCTACGCTGGCTCACCTACCTGCTGACCGACCTGGGAGAGCGGCCTCGTTCTCCTCCAGTGCTGTACGTCGACAACAAGGCCGCCCTTGCCTTGTGTCAGGAGCACAGACTGGAGCACAGAACGAAGCACATTGCTCTGCGCTACTTCCTTGCTCAAGAGCTGCAGCAGCGTGGTCAGCTTCGTCTTACCTACGTGGCCACTCGGGCCAACACTGCTGATATGTTCACCAAGGCGTTTCAGCCTTGTGATCATCAGCGTTTCTGTACTGTTCTAGGCCTAGTGCCTACTGTCCCTCACTTGCTCACTTCTTGACTCTGCTTGTACTGTGATCTCTATATATATACCTGCATGCTTACACTTGCTAGGTTGTGATCACTGTACCTCTTATTATATTATCAAACTGCATGTGAACTGGTCTTGTGACCGCTTGCTTGTGCTCGGAATTTGTGTGGTATCCTTGAGATCCACCCTGAGCTTGTTTTGCTTTGCTTTGCCTTGACTGGTCTTGTGACCATCTGGTTGTCTCCCACTTTGCCTATGGGGGTGTGTCAAACATTGTATATGTTTGTGCTTTGTAGGCTGTAGTGGGTTTAGCCTTAGGGGGTACAATCTCTAGGGTTTCATACTTGTACTCCCAACTTTCCTAGTTCAATCATTCTCGTTCACTTCTAGTTTCTAACAGGCGCCTGCCTAGGTGAGTTGTTACTGAAGGCGCCTGCCTAGGTGAGTTGTTACTGAAGGCGCCTGCCTAGGTGAGTTGTTACTGAAGGCGCCTGCCTAGGTGAGTTGTTACTGAAGGCGCCTGCCTAGGTGAGTTGTTACTGAAGGCGCCTGCCTAGGTGAGTTGTTACTGAAAGCCCCTGCCTAGGTGAGTTGTTACTGAAGGCGCCTGCCTGGGTGAGTTGTTACTGAAGGCGCCTGCCTAGGTGAGTTGTTACTGAAGGCGCCTGCCTAGGTTAGTTGTTACTGAAGGCGCCTGCCTAGGTGAGTTGTTACTGAAGGCGCCTGCCTAGGTGAGTTGTTACTGAAGGCGCCTGCCTTGGTGAGTTGTTACTGAAGGCGCCTGCCTTGGTCAGTTGTTACTGAAGGCGCCTGCCTGGGTGAGTTGTTACTGAAGGCGCCTGCCTAGGTGAGTTGTTACTGAAGGCGCCTGCCTTGGTGAGTTGTTACTGAAGGCGCCGGCCTTGGTCAGTTGTTACTGAAGGCGCCTGCCTGGCGCCTGCCTAGGTGAGTTGTTACTGAAGGCGCCTGCCTAGGTGAGTTGTTACTGAAGGCGCCTGCCTAGGTGAGTTGTTACTGAAGGCGCCTGTCTAGGTGAGTTGTTACTGAAGGCGCCTGTCTAGGTGAGTTGTTACTGAAGGCGCCTGCCTAGGTGAGTTGTTACCGTAGGCGCCTGCCTAGGTGAGTTGTTACTGAAGGCGCCTGCCTAGGTGAGTTGTTACTGAAGGCGCCTGCCTAGGTGAGTTGTTACTGAAGGCGCCTGCCCAGGTGAGTTGTTACTGAAGGCGCCTGCCCGGGTGAGTTGTTACTGAAGGCGCCTGCCTAGGTGAGTTGTTACTGAAGGCGCCTGCCGGGGTGAGTTGTTATTGAAGGCGCCTGCCTGGGTGAGTTGTTACTGAAGGCGCCTGTCTAGGTGAGTTGTTACTGAAGGCGCCTGCCTAGGTGAGTTGTTACTGTAGGCGCCTGCCTAGGTGAGTTGATACTGAAGGCGCCTGCCTAGGTGAGTTGTTACTGAAGGCGCCTGCCTAGGTGAGTTGTTACTGAAGGCGCCTGCCCAGGTGAGTTGTTACTGGAGGCGCCTGCCCGGGTGAGTTGTTACTGAAGGCGCCTGCCCAGGTGAGTTGTTACTGAAGGCGCCTGCCTGGGTGAGTTGTTACTGAAGGCGCCTGCCTGGGTGAGTTGTTACTGAAGGCGCCTGCCTGGGTGAGTTGTTACTGAAGGCGCCTGCCTGGGTGAGTTGTTACTGAAGGCGCCTGCCTGGGTGAGTTGTTACTGAAGGCGCCTGCCTAGGTGAGTTGTTATTGAAGGCGCCTGCCTAGGTGAGTTGTTACTTGTTGGCGGCTGCAGGCTCCTCGCAGGTCGACGTCGGAGGACGTCGAAGCGGATTGTCGCCGATGTCAGCGACCCACGTGACAGCGGGCGGGATTGCACCGAGCTACGGCTACTTCAAGTTTACGCCGGACAGGATCTCGGTCACCCCCTTGCTGGTCGGTCGACCCGACATTCTCACCTGGAAGGAAGCTATCGAGCCCCAGCTGGAGATGGCCGGACTGATCAGCTTCGCCCGTGGCTTGCTCCTTGGGTTGTACTAGGTAAAGTGCGAGTATAGTAAAGAAATACAATTCCTTACAATTACATAAGGGCATGTCACATCGGGTGGTAACCAGCTGTTCGAACGCCCGAATTCTTGGGGTTGAGTTTGGTACAGTACGGTACTTGTTCGAACAGGCCCCCGTTTGAACATCCAAGGTGACACGGACACCTCAAAGCTGCCGCCATAGGTTTCTCAAATCCTCCTGAAATGCTCGTTCCATCCACAATTCTGTGTTATAGGCCGTCTTTGGCTTCTCCTTTCTCCGACATCCCTTCCGCCTCGCCGTGTCTCCCGCTTCACTCGCCGTCATCTGTGCTCCCGTAGGTTCGCGAATCCGTGCTTTTCATTCTGTCGTTGAAAACTATCAAATCGGACGGCTGCAATGGCTGCAGCGGCTCCCCAGGCAGCAGATCTGACGGTGACGGCGGAAATTGTCGGCGCGTCTGGCGAGTCGAAGGTGCTTCAGGCCATTTGGTATTCCCGAGGGAAGCTCGAGCTGCTGGACCAAGCGAGTCGGGTCTTTGGCGAGATCCTCAATATTTCACAAATGGTCCGCGCAGAAATGGTCCGCGCATAAATGGTCCGCGGACGGCGTTGTCCCACTTTTTCTTAACAGCCGAATTAAAAGTTGTTCATAATTTGTCAGCGCAAGATCTCTGGCAGCTGCAGTGGGATTGCTTCTCTGGCAACTGTCCTCGACAACCCGCTTCTTTTTCTTGTTCTACCCCTTTCACAACCCGCGCCCCAACCACCGAAGCTGCCTGGTGATTGGGTTAGCGCTTTGCACACACAGTGCCTTTTGTATTGGGTCGTGCTTTGTCTTCTGAGGGGTCCTGAGGTTGAAATGGGAAAGAGAGTCCTGGGAGGCAGCGAATGAAGGTCTAGGCTCCGTCCATTACTTCCTATACATTTCTAATCAATGAGGGTCCTTCTGTCCTTGTGGCTTCCTAGTCTAATTTCATGGCAACCCCTATCCCTTCACATTCTTCGTCTTTTGAGAACCCATCCAGCCAGCACAACACGTCAGGTAAAGGAAATGGTATTTCCCATCACACCCCATTCCACCCCCACTTCAACCCACCCTACTCACTCCATGTCCCAAATACCCGAATCTGAATGCACCGCACTCCACCGCACGGCACCCATCACAACCCTCCAAACACGCCATCAAGGACATGGTGGTGCGGAGAGCGCCGGCGATAGCGACCACATCAGCGCTGGCGCTGGCAGTGGAGGTGCACCAGCACAGCGTCTTCGAGATTGCTCATGCTGCTGTGAAGCGCATCATTGATCGCCTAGACTACCTCATCTCCATGGTAATGACATTTCTTTCCTCCTTCTCACGTCTTCCCACCGGCTGTCAACCAACACCCCCGGCCCCCCACTCTCTTTGTTTTCGAGCCGACGGATGCTGAGTGATGACCTGGCTCTCCTCTTTGTCTTCCCATTCCAACATCTCCCTGCTCTCTGTCAACCACCATCCCCCCCAATCACCACCATCCCCCCCAATCACCACCATCCCCCCCAATCACCACCATCCCCCCCAATCACCACCATCCCCCCCAATCACCACCATCCCCCCCAATCATCACAATCCCCCCCAAGCACCACCATCCCCCCCAATCACCACCATCCCCCAATCACCACCATATCAGAAAGAACGAAGCAGGAATGATTGACTAGCAGCAGAATGTGAGTACAAGTATGACAAACCTAGTTCTGTACCCCCTAGAGGCTAACCCACAATAGCCTACACAAATATAACACATATAATGTTTGACACACCCCCATAGGCTAAGTGGGGGAGAACAAGGGGTCACAGGACCAATCAAAGCAAAGCAAAGCAAAGCTCAGGGTGGATCTCAAGGATACCACACAAATTCCGAGCACAAGCAAGTGGTCACAAGACCAGTTCACATGCAGGTTGATAATAGAACAAGAGGTACAGTGATCACAACCTAGCAAGTGAAAGCATGCAGGTATATATATAGAGATCACAGTACAAGCAGAGTCAAGAAGTGAGCAAGTGAGGGAGAGTAGGCACAAGGCCTAGAACAGTACAGAAACGCTGATGGTCACAAGGCTGAAGTGCCTTGGTGAACACATCAGCAGTGTTGGCCCGAGTGGCCACGTAGGTAAGACGAAGCTGACCACGCTGCTGCAGCTCTCGAGCAAGGAAGTAGCGCAGAGCGATGTGCTTCGTTCTGTGCTCCAGTCTGTGCTCCTCACACAAGGCAATGGCTGCCTTGTTGTCGACGTATAGCACTGTAGGAGAACTAGGCCGCTCTCCGAGGTCGGTCAGCAGGTAGGTGAGCCAGCGTAGCTCCTGGACAGCCATGGCTATGGCGTAGATCTCAGCCTCACAACTGGAGCTGAGAACAGAGGAAGAGCGTGTAGAACGCCAGGAAACAGAGCCAGAGCCAAGGCTGAAGGTGTAACCCTGAGACGACCGCTGCGTAGCCTGGTCGTCAGCCCAAGAAGCGTCTGAGTGTCCAGTGAGGACAACGTCGCGCCGTCCTCCAAGCACAAGCCCCATGCCCGACGTACTGCACAAGTAGCGCAACACCCTCTTAGCGGCATCCATGTGCTCCTTCCGGTGACGGCCAGGAGCGACATAGCGTGCTAGGATGCTAAGAGGGTAGGCTAGGTCAGGTCGAGTGCAGGTCATCAGGTACATGAGGCAGCCCACAAGCTCTGGATACGGGCCACTCGGCTCTACGGACTTTTCCGAAGGCAGAGCTGAGAGCGAGTGACCGGTAGGCAGAGGAGTGGGCTGAGGCGAGGAGTACGTGAAGCGGAAGCGCTGAAGGACCTGCTGCACCATGTGTGACTGAGTCAAGGTGATGGTGCGCTGTGCTCTGTCCCGGGTGATCCGCAAGCCAAGATAGCTTGTCAGCTCACCCAGGTCTGTGCACGTGTGTCTCTTCTGCAGCTCCGACTTCACGTGGGCGAGTGCCTCAGTGTCAGAAGTAGCAAAGACCAAGTCGTCTACGTACACGAGAACGTAGAACGGCGGCAGAGTGGTGTCGGTGCGTAGAAACAGCGACGGGTCAGCAGTAGAAGGAGCAAACCCAAGAGCAGCAAGAGTAGTCCTCAGTGTGTCGTGCCACTCACGGGGCGCCTGGCGGAGACCGTAGACCGGCCGCCGGAGGCTCCACTGGGTACCAGGAGGGAACGACCCAGTGAAGCCAGGTGGGCGGCGCAGCCAGATCTCCTCGTGTAGGGTGCCCTGTAGGAACGCAGTGCTGAAGTCAAGGCAGTGGAGCTCGTAGTCACGCTGAGCGGCGACGTGCAGCAGAACCCGAAGAGTGGTCATCTTCGGGGTCGGGGAGAAGGTCTGGAAGAAGTCAACTCCCTCTCGCTGACTGAAGCCTCGTGCAACGTAACGCGCCTTGAAGACAGGCGGAGAACCCGGCGGCCGCTTCACCCTGAAAATCCACATGCCACTGACGATGTTCGCCCCAGGTGGGGGAACCTCGTCGACGTAGGTGCCTGTGGACTTCCAGGAAGCCATCTCTGCGTCCATGGCTGTCTGCCACTGAGAGGAGTACTCACCCTCCATCGCCTCTGCGTAGGAGCGTGGGGTCGGGATGTCTGGTGCATCCGGGTCTCCCTCAGGGGCAATCAGCATGGATACGAGATGAGGTAAAGCAGCAGCAAATCACTCAAACTCCTCCTGTCTGTCCTCAAGGACGTCCGTGCCAAGAGCACACTCACCCCCGACGGACGGAGGACAGACAGACTCAGACTCAGCGACAAGGCTAGCGGCGTAGTCTAGACGACAGGCGGCAGCAAAGTCAACAAGCTCAGCGACTAGAGCAGACGCAGCAGAGGACTCAAAGGTAGGGTCAGTGACAACAGTGGCAAGGAGACGCACGACAGTAGGACTGGCAGCACGAGTAAGGTGTGACGGCGGGTCGGCAACGTCAGGAAGAGAGGACGCAGGAGGAGACGGCAGAGGGACGCGCTGTGGAGCAGTGGACTGACGCAGGGTCATGTAGTGAGTGCCAAGGACAGGAGGAGGACGCTCACGTGGAGCACGACGACCAGTGCGTGCAGTGCGGACAGGCGACTCTGGACGAGTCTCAGAAGACGCAGGACTAGACTCAGGCGACGGAGGACGAGACTCAGGCTCACGACGCTCCGTAAAGCTACCTGTCGGCGCAGTGTAAGGAGAAGGACCAGGCAGTGGAGAGGCAGGCTGTAACTGTGATTGCGACGGGACAGGTGGTGGACTCAGTAGGGGAGGAGAAGGACCAGTAGAGGGCGGGAGACCAAGAACCTGCTGAAGGAGTGGAACGTAGTACGGCCTCGGCCGCTCAGCACCTCCAGCTCCAACCCCCTCAGCAGCTCCAGTCCCACCAGTACGAGCACCTCCAAGGCCAGCAGCTCCAGCAGCTCCAGCACCAGTAGCACCTCCAGCAGCTCCAGGAGTACTAGCACCAGCAGCACCTCCAGCAGCTCCAGCAGCACCTCCAGCAGCTCCAGTAGCACCAGTACCAGCAGCACCTCCAGCAACTCCAGCAGTACCAGCACCAGTAGCACCAGTACCAGCAGCACCTCCAGCAGCTCCAGCAGCACCAGCACCAGCAGCACCAGTACCAGCAGCACCTCCAGCAGCTCCAGCAGTACCAGCACCAGTAGCACCAGTACCAGCAGCACCTCCAGCAGCTCCAGCAGCACCTCCAGCAGCTCCAGCAGCACCAGCACCAGCAGCACCAGTACCAGCAGCACCTCCAGCAGCACCAGCAGCACCTCCAGCAGCTCCAGTACCAGGGTCCGTGACGCGAGGAGCGCCACTCCTGAGACTGCAGTGCCGAGCGTACCACTCGCGGAGCTGGGCAGCGCCCGCCTAGGAGGGGAAGCACTAGCACCAGCTCCAGCAGCTCTCCGAGCTCTAGAAGCACCTCTCCTGAGGCTGCAGTACTGTAAGTACCACTCACGCAGCTGCTCGGAGGAGAGAGCTCCTCCAGGTGTAGCACTCCCAGGCTCAGCACCCCCAGACTCAGTACCCGAAGTCTCAGCACCCCCAGTCTCAGCACCCCCAGACTCAGCACCCCCAGACTCCGCAACCCCAGGCTCCGCACCCCCAGGCTCAGTAGTGCTCAGGCTCAGCACCCCTAGCAGGACGAGAGTCGACAGCTACCTCGACAGGGTCAACCGGGTCTACCTGGGACACACCTGAGGGAGCGGCACCCTGAGGGGGGAGGGGGTCTACCACAGCAGCACCTGGCGCGAGGAAGAGAGGCGGGGGAGGGAGCGGGGCAGTGCGGTAGGGGAAGAGGCGGTAGTAGGGCACCGACTCGTCAAAAGTGACGTCCTGAGAGGGCAGGACACGGTGCGAGGTGGCGTGGTAAAACTGCCAACCAGACGCGTCCGGGACAAAGCCAAGGAAGACACAAGGAACAGCGCGGGAGGAGAGCTTGTCCGCAGACGTATCGCGGACAAAAGCTCTAGATCTCCAGACCCGAAAACGCGACGCATCGCCAACCTCCCCCGTCCACAGCAGTGTGGGCGAGGTCTCCCGCAAGGAGACACGAGGCCAGAGGTTGAGCTGATGCGCAGCGTAGCGGACTGCAAACGGCCACAGAAAGTGGGGGGCAGCCGCATGGATCAAGGAGGTACGAGCGACCTCCATGACCAAGCCAATGCGGCGCTCAGCAACCCCATTCTGCTGTGGAGAGGCCGGAAGCGTGAACGACTGCTCAATGCCCTCCCCCTGACAGAAGGCCCTCAAGAGTTCGGAGGAAAACTCCCCACCTCTGTCAGAGTGCAGACGTAGGACAGGGAAGTCCGAGTGGAACCTCTCGCTGAGCTGGAGACGGTGCCACGAAGGCGCTGCACTGACGGGTGACCAAGGCGGTGGTGCCAGAGGACGGTCTCGTGCGCCAAGGAGCGACACGAGCAGGGGGCAGACAGCTGACCTGACGTAGATGCAGACGCAGCTACCTGAGGGGACTCAGTGGTCAGTGTGTACAGGTCCGACCCCGGCTGCCTAGTGAAGGTAGCCAGGTGACGGCCCGTCCGAGCACACGTGCAGTGTGTCACACGCTCGTAGGCAGGGGTGAACTGGTGGACACCCCCGTCCTGGAGGGCACAACCCGCCACCAAGTTCGTAGAGAACGAGGGGAGGTGGAGACCTGACAGAGTGCCCGACGGAACCGCAGGACAAGGAAGGACAGTGGAGGAGGTCGCAATGACCGGACCCCCAGAGGGGTCAGCAAGGGAGACAGCAACTGGCCGAGCAAGCTGCTCAAGGGCAGTGCGGTCACGAAAGAAACAGCGAGAAGCGCCTGAGTCTAGAGTGAAGGTGTGCAGTGCCTCAGTGGACTCAGTACCAGGGGGCGCAGACTCACTAGCACATGAAGCAGCAGCCTCACCAGCACCTGGGGCAGCAGACACGTAAGCACCTAGCGCAGTAGCCTCACCAGCACCTGGGGCAGCAGACACGCAAGCACCTAGAGCGGCAGCCTCACTGGTGCGAATGCCCGGGTCGGGCGGAACACGCAGGTACTGATCACCCTCTCCACTAGTAGACAACACATACATGGCAGTGAGAATAGCATCAAAGTCAAGAGCAAAGACATCAATGTTCTTCTTCATCAGATCCCACCAGCGGGGCAGCTCAGTGGCAGTAGGGAACTGAATGCGCCAAGCGTCGTCGGGGCGGGAGAAGCAGCGCTGCGTGGCGTGCGCCCTCCCACACGTGTGGCCAGTGCGCTCACCAGTGCGGATGACGTACGTGCAGCTAAAGCCACCCCCCCCCCCCCGTGCTGAGAGTACCACTCACGAAGCTCCTGGGGAGAGAGAGTCTGCTGTCCGCCAGCGCCACCACGACCACCACCTCCGCCGCCACCACCTCGACCACCACCGCTCCTGCCGCCGCCTCGTCCACCGCCGCCCACACCACCACCCCCACCCCGGCCACCTCCTCCGCTGCTGCCGCCACCACCCCCACCACTGCCACTAGCCCTTCCTGCCCCGCCACCACCCCCACCGCCTCCACCGCCCCCACCACCGCCTCCCCCGCCGTCACCTCCACCTCCCTTGCCCCCTTTGCCCTTGCCGCTGCGGCGCCAGCTCGGAGCGGACGCAGTCCCGACCTGCTCAGTACCAACTAGGTCGACAGCAGCAGCAGAGGCAACAGAGGGGAGCAGGGGGGAAGGGGAACACCCGTCGAAGAACGGGGTGCGGGGGTCGCCACGAGAGGCAGCTACAGCGACTATGCTAGTCTCGGCTGCAAGCAGTTCCTTCTCGAGCAGGTCAACGGTGAGCTCAGTGGGGCAGCGAGCGAGGAAGTGGTCCCTGACCGCACGAAGAGAGTCAGGGAGACGGGTGACAAGGTGGTAGAGAGTGAGCCAGAGTGGGGGGGGGTGGGTGGCAAGAAACTCAGCGGGCATAGCGGCACGGAAGCGTGCCTCACTAGTGCGGAGGTGCGTGGTGAGGTCAGTGACTGTGGCGAAAGCGGACAGGTCTGGGAACAGGTAGGGGAGCGAGAGACGGCCTAGCGCAACAGAGGCAGGCGAGGAGTAGCGTGCAACTACAGCAGTGTACAGTGCCTGTGCAGTTTTGTGCTGGCCAAAGTGCTCGCGCTCATCTACCGGCAGGGAGTTGCGAATGGCAAAGCGAGCGTGGGCGTCATGAGTCTGCCACTGTGAACGGGCAGTACTGTCAGCAGTAGTAGCAGGGGCAGCAGCATTGCCTAGTGCGTGATCGTACAGCGAGATATCCTCCTTGGCAGTGAGCTGGAGGAACAGGTGCAAGTCATCGAGCCAGGTCTCAAACTTCAGTGGGCGACCCTCAGCATCGAAAGCTAGAACAGCAGGGCTAGCCATAGTTGCAGTAAGAGCAGTAGTAGCAGCAGAAACAGTAGCAGTAGGAGCTGCAGGCGAAACCCTAAAAGCAGCAGGCAGTGCGACTCAGGTAGGGCGGCTCGGTCCAGAGAGGGCTGCTCAGTACGGGGAGGGCAGCGCGGCTCGGTTCGGGCGGCGCGGCTCGGCTCGGTTCTGGGCGGCTCGGTTCGGGCGGCTCGGTTCTGGCGGGGCCGTGGCGGTCGCACGTGGGGCGGCTCGGTTCTGGCGGGGCCGACGGGGCCTCTAAGGGGCGAACGCGGGGCCGACGGGGCCGCTAAGGGGCGGCGCAAGAGGTCGACGGGGCCGTAAGGGGCCTCTAGGGGGCGGCGCTCGGGGTCGACGGGGCCGGAAGGGGCCGCTAAGGGGCGGCGCGCGGGGTCGACGGGGCCGTAGGGGGCCGCTAAGGGGCGAACGCGGGGCCGACGGGGCCGCTAAGGGGCGGCGCGCGGGGTCGACGGGGCCGTAAGGGGGCCGCTAAGAGGCGGCGCGCGGGGTCGACGGGGCCGTAAGGGGCCGCTAAGGGGCGGCGCGCGGGGTCGACGGGGCCGTAAGGGGCCGTTAAGGGGCGGCGCGCGGGGTCAACTGGGCCTTGAGGGGCCGCTAAGGGGTCGACGGGGCCGTAAGGGGCCGCTAAGGAGGGGCGCACGAGGGCGCTACGACAGTAGGGCGCACGAGGGCGCTAGTAGACAGTCAGTGTGGTGGGCCCTTAAAAAAAATCGGTCCTAGCGGAGGACCTGCTCTGAAACCATATCAGAAAGAACGAAACAGGAATGATTGACTAGCAGCAGAATGTGAGTACAAGTATGACAAACCTAGTTCTGTACCCCCTAGAGGCTAACCCACAATAGCCTACACAAATATAACACATATAATGTTTGACACACCATCCCCCCCAATCACCACCATCCCCCCCAATCACCACCATCCCCCCAATCACCATCATCCTCCCCAGTCACCACCATCCCCCCCAATCACCACCATCCCCCCAATCACCACCATCCCCCCCAATCACCACCATCCCCCCAATCACCTCCATCTCCCCCAATCGCCACCATCCCCCCCAATCACCACCATCCCCCCAATCACCATCACCCCCCCCCAATCACCACCATCCCCTCAATCACCACCATCCCCCCAATCACCACCATCCCCCCAATCACCACCATCCCCCCAATCACCATCATCCCCCCAATCACCACCATCTCCCCCAATCACCACCATCCCCCCAATCACCACCATCCCCCCAATCACCACCATCCCCCCCAATCACCACCATCCCCCCCAATCACCACCATCCCCCCCAATCACCACCATCCCCCCCAATCACCACCATCCCCCCCAATCACCACCATCCCCCCAATCACCACCATCCCCCCCAATCACCACCATCCCCCCCAATCACCACCATCCCCCCCAATCACCACCATCCCCCCCAATCACCACCATCCCCCAATCACCACCATCCCCCCCAATCACCACCATCCCCCCCAATCACCACCATCCCCCCCAATCACCACCATCCCCCCCAATCACCACCATCCCCCCCAATCACCACCATCCCCCCAATCTAAGGGTGGAAAACGAGTTGGGGGGTACTCGATCACTACTCGAGATTCGAGGTATTTGGCAAATACTTGTCAAAGCGAATGCCTGAGAAAAGGGGCGAGTACTCGACTCGTGAGTACTCGAGAGGGCGAGTATTCGGGGGTCAAGTACTCGGTTATTCGACGAGTACTCGAATCAAGCATCCCTGCCCCCCGATACACCTAAAACGAGGAATATAGTCAATGTGCCCACCAGTTTCATCCTCAGAAAGTCAACCATCCACTTATAACAGACTTTGGCGCTTTGTTGTGTAAGAACCCAAGTGGCTACGAGTGCTTGTGCACTTATGATGATGCGAACTTACAAACATGCATGGCCAGTTCATACGCTATAGTGCACTCGCTACGGAACTCTCAGCCATTTTAAGTGCAAGATGACGTTCACAGATGGATGTCCAAGTAACGTGTGTTTCATGCTAGAGGTGATCATGTATGCTAGAGTTTGCATGGAGCTTCTTGACCAGTCCAAAGCTAAAAAAATATAGGTTCATATTGGTGAGGGTAGTACTCGATAATCGACTTGTATTCGCTCGTATTCGACAGCATTCGACTCGTATTCGACTCGAATGAAATGGTGGTATTCGATCAAATACTTTTTTTGTGATTACTCGCTAAATACTCGTCTAATCTAAGGTACTCGTATTCGAATCGGGTACTCGATTTGCACCCTTACCCCAATCACCACCATCCCCCCAATCACCACCATTCCCCCAACCCCCCCTTCCCAGGCAACGGTGCTGGCAGCGGAGGCGATGTTGAGTGATGATGTGGCAGCCAACAAGCGCATTGGCGCGTTTGGCGCACAGCGACAGAAGGGCGTTGAGGAGAAGAACCTGCGGGTACTCACCCACTGCAACACTGGCAGGTGTGTCAGAATGTTGTATTTGTCTAGCCTGCAGTGGGGTACTCTATAGCGAGTACAGCCCAATCTAGGGTTTCCTATATGTACTCAACTGCTTGCTAGTGAACCTCCTCCTTTCTTCATTCTTACTTTCTACTGCTAGTTCTGACATGCTATCAGAGCAGGTCGATCCCCTTGGGTCGATCCTGTGGGTGGGCCCACCACCTCACTGCTTCCGCTGCTACTGCTACTCTGTGTGTTGCACGCCCCGTGGCGTGCGACGGATTTTTCATCCCGCCGCGCGCTCGGAGCGTGCGGCGGTTTTCTGCCCGCCGTGCGC